GTTAACATAACTATTTTATTTTGACATTTATGGAGAACAACTAGATTAAGTCTGAATACTAAATTTTTAGTTTTGTAACAGAAAAAAGTATTTTTCAAGCTGAAGGTAATGATTTTATGTATTTTTTTAATCTAAAAGTAAAATATAAGGCAAGTGATCTTTATGTGTTAAAGCTACTGAAGGAAAGTAAACATGTAATAACTTTATATGACTTCAAATAGTCCATATCTTACATCTTTTTTTGATCTGGATTATTTCCTGAAAAGAGAAACAAAAATCTTTTGAAACTATAGAAAATTGTTTTATAGTTTTGTTTTTGTTGTTGTTTGTTTTCAGTGATAAGATCAAACCCAGGGCAAGCACTCTATCACTGAGCTAAATCCCTAGTCCTCAGAACATATTTTAAATATACTAAGCCTTAAAAAAACTTATGTGAATTTTGTAAATACTTCTGTTAAAATGTTTATTTTTCATACTAAAACATCATATTATTTTTTACCTTCTAGTACAAATTTTTATAAATACAGTTTTATTAAATCCAATGCTACCTGTTCTGGGTAATGTGTGGTATATTTCATTTAGGGTGTGGTGGTTAGGTTGCAGTGATTATAAATCAAGGCAGTACCTCAGGAACCTAGGAATGTTAGGTAGGAGATAGGAAGTTCATAGCTTGCCAAGAACTTCAGCTATTCCCATAAACAATTTGATTACTTATGCTGACTCTTGCAAACAAAACAGGTTGCCCAAGTCTCAAACTTGATGCTTCTGTGCAGTATCTGAACCACCCTTCTACAGATATAACCATTCATTTATATATGTAAATACCATTTTCTGTGAATAGGTCAGTATGCTAAAAATCATTGCAAAGTTTCCTATGACCATACATCTTGTTTTGACTTTCCATACATTTCTAGTATTGAAAAATGGAATACATTAAAAATATTTTTTGAAAGATAATGCTAAGGCTGGGGTTGTGGCTTAGTGGCAGAGCACCTGCCTCACACATGTGAGGCACTGGGTTCAATTCTCAGCACCACATAAAAATAAACAAAGATATTGTGTCCATGTATAACTAAAAAAAAATTTTTTAAATAAATAAAGATATGCTAGCAGAGTACAGCAGTACATGTCTGTGACCTCAGAGATTTTAAATGCTGAGACAGGAGTATGGCAAGTTTGAGGCCAGCCTCAGCAATGCCCTCAGTAATTTAGGGAGACCCTCTAAAAATAAAAATTAGAAGGGTTTAGGGATATAGCTCAGTGGTAGAATACCCCTGGGTTCAATCACCAGCACCCCAAAAAAGATATATTAGAAAATGACATGAATAAAATGATATAATTTCAGGAAGATAGATATAAATTGTAATTGTCTGAAAAGAAAATCAACAGTATATAATTGGCCTTTGAACACTGTGTGCATAATTATATGAAAGTTGTGCATAAGAATATCATGCCATATCGATGTAAATTTTCTGCATAAAGAATTTGATTTGGGGCTGGGCATCATAGACATGCTGGTAATCAAGCAATTTGGGAAGCTGAAGAAGGAGGATTGCAAATTTGAGGCACAGTAATTTAGAGAGACCCTCAGAAACTTAGATCCTGTCTGAAAAAAATAAAAAGAACTGGGGATGTGGCTCAGTGGTAAAGAGCCCCTAAGGTTCAATTCTTAGTACCAAAATTAATTAATAAATTAAAAAGTACGGGGGGAGCTGCAGTTGTGGCTCAGCAGTAGAGTGCTTGCCTAGCATATGTGAGGCGCTGGGTTCAATCCTCAGCACCACATAAAAATAAATAAGTAAAATAAAGATATTGTGTACAACTACAACTAAAAAAAATTTCCTCCTTTTCATAGAGGAAAAATATCCTGAGGAACACGTTTAAATTGCTTCCAATAGCTGAGCATTGTGGCACATGCCTATAATCACCGCAGCTAGCAAGGCTGGAGGATCACATTTTGTTACCAACCTAAGCAATTTAGTGATTCCCTAGGCAATTCAGCAAGACCTTGTCTCAAAAAAGTAAAAGGAGCTGGAGATATGACTCAGCACACCTGGGTTCAATCCCAATAATACTATAGTATTTAAGGTGAATGATCTTCATATCGAATAGGTTTGATTTGGTAACAGCTACTAAAAGATGGGAATCTTCTACCCCAGAAGTGCGCTCTACCACGGAGCCACAACCCAAGCCCCTAAGGTTTTGAACTTGCTGTCTTCCTGCCTTATCCTCCCAAACCAATAGGATTACAGAAGGTTGCCACCGCACACAGCCTAATAGACTTAGTTTAAGTCCAGGGTAATTTAGCATATTCGACACAAAACGTATGTATTCAGCAAACGTATGTATTCTAGAGTGAAGCCCAGATTCTTACCGTGGCTCTTAATGCTCTACAAAATCTGCTCTCTCCTTACCTCTCTGATTTCATCTATTATTTTCCCCTTTTTCCTTCTACTCCAGCCCTACCAGTTTCCTTGTTATAGCTGAACATGCCAAGTACATTGTCATGTTGGCTTTTTAAAAATTACTTTAAGTACATACTTTATTCAGATTTCGTGAGTTTTGCCTAGTATCTTCTTTTTTTCGGTCTTATATATGCTTTTTTTTTTTTCCCAAAGCACATTTTATTTGGAGACAGGGTCTCACTGAATTGCTTAGTGCCTCGCTTTTGCTGAGGCTGGCTTTGAACAGTCTGTCCTCTTGCCTCAGCCTTCCAAGTTGATGGTGGTGTTGGAGTTTTTGTTTTTGTTTTGGCAGTACTGGAAATTCAACCCAAGGCCTTACACATGCTAGGCAAGTATTCTACCATCTGTGTGCCCTGGCTGGCATTAAACTTGCCATCCTCCTACCTCAGCCTCCTGAGTAGCTGGGATTACAGGCATGTGCCACTGGGTAAGTATATTTTTAGCTGACACATAAAAACATTAAAATCGTACATATTAATGGGGAACCATGAAATATTTTGATACATGTATACAACATGTAATGTTTAAATCAAGTTTAACACATCTCTATCTCTTCAAACATTTCTTCATAGTAAAAATTTTGAAAATCCTTTTCTCCTAGCTTTTTGAAATGTATGTTCACATTCTCACTTTCAAGCCTTTGTACCAGGTGCTACTTTTGTCTGGAATATGCTTTCCTGGGCATCTACAAGATTACATCTTTTCCTTCTCCCAACCTCCACACTGTAGATCCTCTTGGTCCTTGGTCTGCTCTCTAACATTTACTAACTTCTACTATTATATGCAATATTATGTGTTCTATTCCCTTATGTATTGTTTCCCTCAAAAGTTGTTTTGTTGTTGTTGTTGTTGTTGTTTCTCCCTGTACTGGGAAAAATGCTTGGTACATTGTAGGATATATATATGTAAGTATTTTTTGTTGACAATGAGACCTTTATTTTATTTTATATTATTTTTATTTAATACCCGGGACTGAGAATTGAACTCAGTGCCTCACACATGCTAGGCAAGCACTCTGACACTGAGCTACAACCCCAGCCCCACAATGTAGATTTACAGTAAATTTTACTATAAATTTTACATTAGTGATTTGTTGCTGTTGTTGAGACAGGGTCTCATTATGTAGATAGTCCAGACTAGCCCTGCAGTTCTGAGCCCAAGCAATTCTCTTGCATCAGCCTCCTGAATAGCTGGGACTACAGGTGCTCACCACCTTGCTAATATTGAATATTTTAATTATCTGCTTGCTTAAGGTTGAAGGAGTAACTCAATGAGCTTTAACCATGTGATATGTTTCAAAAGTCAAACTTCCTCCTTAAGGAATACAAGTTATTTACCATCTCCCTCCCAATATAGAGGAAGAACCAACATCAAATTCTCACTTCCCAACCTTCAACAAAAAGACTCAGGAAGTAACAAATGGATGAAGCTGCAATTTCTCCCCCTACCCAACATACACGAAATACATCAATCCCCGGCAGTGAAAAAAAAAAAAGTGACGATTTTAGTTATTAATGTTCTGAGTTTTAATGAAGCATTTACAAAATGATGCCTGGACCAGAAAGTGCAAGCCAGAGGACAAGAACAACTGTTGGACTTTTAAGTAACTCACCCTATCATGGTGAATGCTTCGACCATGGAACACATGAAAGCCAATCAAATACTGTACTTCCGTAGACCTCACAGCTTTTCGGTAGCATTCTAAGACACGGAGCGGCTACCCTCCTAGGTTTACTTCAGCTCAGCCAAGTTAAACTGATTCACGAGTTAGGGGAAAACAGAATCGCTGCAGAATGGCTGAAACATCAAAGAAGGTGCATTGGTTCCACCTGTTCATTTCACCTGAGTGCAAGAGTAAGGCACTGAAGCCTAAATTCCGCGACTTAACTCTGCAGTGAAAGCCCGGTGGGCTATTCACAGCCTGTGAGTGGCCCAGTGGAGTAGATGACCTCCGCCTCCCTTTACCCTGTCACCTGCACTTTATCCAGTGATCCCGCAGTCAGGATGAATAACCTAACTTATTTCGAGCGGGCTTTCCGCCGAAGGCAAAGATGACCCATGTTTACACTTCAGTTACACTGAGTTTTGAGTCTCTAAATCCGTTTCGTGGGCACTGAGCACAGAGCAGCCCCAGCACAGACCTCGCCCAGGTCGGCTGGGGATTGAGCACAGACGCCTCCAAGCTGGCAGCCCGCAGGTAGCGCACCAATAAGGGCGAAAACTCTGGGAAAGGTTCCGCAACCCCACCAGCCGGGGCGGGGCTAAAGCTGGACCCAACCACAGCTCGCGGGGCGGCGGGGGAGACACCAAGAAACCGCACCTTCTTAAGGCAAGCGAAGACTCCCCTTACGAAGAGGCTTAAAGTTCTGAGTTTTCATGAAGCGTTTACAAAATGATGCCTGGACCAGAAAGTGCAAGCCAGAGAGCAAGAACTCCTGTTGGACTTTTAAATAACTCACCCTATCACGCGGGTCACTCCTCCCGTCGGAAAGCTCCCTCGTCCTGCCTCCCCTTCCGCAACTCTTGTCACGCCAGACTCCTCCTTCCCACGGTCTCCTCCTCTGCACCCCCCGTCCTCGCGTGGTGCAGTCCAGAGTCTCGGGTCACGGGGCCGTGGGGGCGCGGCTTGCTTTGAGCCCTGGGGTGCCTCTCCAGGCGTCGGCGGGAGTCCCCAGGAGAAGCGGCTGCGGCTGGAATGATGCTGGGCCAGAGTCGCTTCATCTTCGTTCTTCTGGCTGCGGCAGCCACCTGCGCCTTGGCGCAGCACGCGCCGCCGGTGGGTGAGCTCGAACCGAGGCGCAGATGGGGGCACAGGTGCAGGCGGGGGCGCAAGTGCAGGTGTGGCAGAGCGGGCAGGGAGTGAGGAACACCTGGTCGCGGGCAATCACTTTATCAGATTTGTGGTTTCGTTCGCAGGAGTGTGGCCACAAACCGGCAGGTGAGCCCCATACCTGGTTGATTTGGTGCTCTATGGAACCAGAACTCCTTTTAGGGAAATCCTAAACTCCGCAGAATGGCTGTGTATGGTTTGCACACCCTCACATTTGAGTACTAATATTTGAACTACCAGTTCCAAGCTTTCGCATCCGGAAAGAAATCTTTAGTGAAAAAATTCCAGTCGATTGTGTGCATTACTCAAGTTGCAGACTGCTTGATGACTTTGTTCTGGTGACTAGGTGCTTTCTCCTCAAGGAGATAAACCCTCACCGGAAGCCTCCCATCGCCAGTCGTCTCGGTCTGGGCAGTGGGAGACGCCCAGAGCAGGCCCCAGCACGCCGGTTGTAGCCTTCACCCCCAGTCATGGGAATGCCGGTCTTGTGGCCTTTTCCCTCAAGCTGGTCACAGGGCCACTGACTTGACAACTGCGATAGACAGTGAGTGACCAGCGTGACTCCTTGTAGACAAGAGGAAGTATACCAAGAATGAGAAAATCTCTAGCCAGAGGTCACACTATTGTTCACTGAGCATTCCTAAAGTCAAGCCTCTTGGCACCCAGTCTGGCACTCTTTCATAACTCATTGCTTTTAAAGTAGTAAGACTGGGGGATGGCCATTATGTCAGAGGTAGAGTGCTTTCTAAGCATGCCAAGTCCCTGGGTTAAATGCCCAGTCCAAAACAAAACCATTAAGGCTACACTTTTCTTTGCTAGCAGATAAGATAACTAAAACATGGGTACATCTGACCTGAGGCTGAGGAAGATGTATAGTTTATATAGGACATTGGAAGCAAAGTGTAATTTCCTTTATTGTTTTATTCCTATAAGGAGAAATGCTTTAAGAATCAATCATGATGGGATATTATTCAGCCACTAAAAACTGATGTAATATTTAGCAGATAAGAGCAGAATGTAAAACAGTAAGTACAGTTATTTAAATAATAGAAAAATACACAGTATGTACATATGGACAAAGATTCAAAGAAAAAAGAAAAATAAAATTAGTTTGCCTTAATGTGTATAGGGAATTAATTTGCTTGAGGGGAGTTGGGATTACAAGGGTCTTTAAAGAATTTAATACTTTGATGCTGTTGGGTACCCTTCATCCAAAGACCACCAGGAACACACTAGTAGTTGAACAAACTGAGTGTAATATTTTTTGAGCTGAGGGAGAATGCACACCATGGGCAACCATGGGTTAGAAAAAAAATTACAAAATTTGGATTTGGGGTAGGACTAAGGAATTTGGGGGTTGCTCTTGATTGGATGCTTTCAGAAAGTGGGGCAATTCTTGGGGAAAAACATAAGTCATTCATTTAAGGAGAGGAGGGGTGTTTAATATTTTATGGGTTGCACAGTGTCCTTGTTTTTGTCAGTGCATAGATAGAATCATGAAGTACCCTTGCTTTGTTTCATTATGTCTCAGAGTAGTCTTGTCTGAGGTAGGTATTCTGTGAGATTGTGGGTTCAAGAGCAAAGCAGAAATAACCTGGCTGTGAGTGTTGGGACAGGTTACCCATGTTGAATGCAGTTAAGATACGAAATGTCCATTCCATTTGGTAGCTGGAGGTCATTGATTATCTTGACTCAAGCAGTTTGGGGGCAGAAAATAGGTTGTAGTAGGCTGAGGATTTATCAGAAAGAAAGTTATGGAGAGATGACTGTTCTTAGTAATAAATCTGAGCAGATTCATAAGTTGTTGTATGTTGAAAGATAATGACTCAGTAACGAATTGCTGAAGGGAACATTTTTATGCATCAGCTTCTCATACAAATAGGAACACTGTTGGCATTAGATTTCAAGTCAGGTTTAACAGTAATTTTTCACAAAGATTCCAAAATTGTATAAATCTCACATGACTTCACCTGTGTCTGTTGTACTACATGGGCTTTTCCCCAGTTCACAAAGAAAGGACCACACATGAATGATCTGTTCGCTTATTCATATAGTATTCATGTGCTCGACTCCATTCCACATGCTGGCAGCAAGTCAGTCAACAAGATAGACAGGGCCAGTGCCCTCTTGGAGGGTTTATTCATATTCCTTTTACCTACATATCAGCAGTTTAATAGGGATCATTCCATTGAAGCCCTGAAAACATTTACATGCTCATATGCATTATGTGTGCAAGACACAGGCCCTTTTTTCTTCAGGTGTATACCTGCTAAATTTTAGATAGCATTTTAGGAAACAAATCTTATTTAGAATAGCTAATGAATTAAAAATTGCCTTGCTAGAATTATTCAGCTTTTCTGTTAGATATAAAAATCATGAGTTATTATTCTTTAAATTATCTCTCATTCTTTTCTGAGTATATAAAAACACACAAGGGCATTCAGAACTTTTTTGTACATTAGTAGAAGCACTTCATTGAGGTTCTCATTAATTTTGCAAGACTGAAATATTTTAAGGAACTGGACAAGTTTTGTTTTGTTTCTGTTTTGTGTGTATGGTACCAGAAATTGAACCCAGTGGGGTTCACCCCTGAACTACACCTCCAGTTCTTTTTATTTTTTGAAACAGCATCCCACTAATTTACTCAGGCTAGCTCGAACTTGCAATCCTTGTGCCTCAGTCTCTGGAGTTAGGCACGGGCCACATGCCAGGCCACTGCTGCTACTTCTTTTTGCTCTTTTTTCCCCCCTCTTCAGTGTAGAGTATTGATTGAGCCTTTAATGAAATAATTTTCAGTAAGTATGTTGTAAATATTTTCCTAAGTATGTTATGTTCGGTAGCTCTGTAATTAATTTTTCTTAACAAGTGGAGAAGATTTAAATACTGATTAATTTCAAAGGCTTAAGTTCTTCTCAAATAATCAGAATAATTACAGGGAATTCATTGATCCAGAAAACTTTAAGAAGTCACTTTCCAGAGTTTCAAATAGATTAAAATATTAAGTTTTCATTGCCCTTAGAAAGCAACATAAGAGAGGGAGACTGTGAGGAAGGTGTTAAGATTCTAAATTTGACTGTTTTTCCTGTGATAAAGTAACAGTATACCATGCTGCATACCATCTCTGTGCTATCATCTATTTCTAATCTTTATGTATCATCTATTTTAACTTTTACCTGGCTTGATAAGATTGCCTATTAAAACCATGTATAGTTAAGTTTGGGCATAGTTAGAAATGCTATGTTTAAATGATTTCTGGGTCAGCACCTTTTGAGCACCTGAAATACTGAGGTCTCATGACTGTTACTTATTTTGACTCAACATTTACGCTTTGTTCTTGGAACTAAAAGTATGCATGTTTCGTGTCTGTTTATGATAGACTGGATTATCATAGTTATCAACCTTGGACTCCCACATGTATTATTGCGAGGTTGCTCTTTAGCTTTTACCTCTGGGGCAGGTTGACTTCTCTTCTAAAACTTGACAGAGCACTTTCAACTTCCCTCACACTTGTCTAGTAAGAAATGTGTTTGTAATTTCATTTTTACATTGGCTTCAGAACCCAGGATATGCAATATAATTATTGAGAGGAACAGGAGTCATTGCATTTCACTTATTTGCTGAGTTAATTCTAGTGATCATCAAAAGCACTGAACTTAGTACATCTTATTCTCTATTAGGAATCAGATTGAAGCATTGATTTTATTGTTACTGCTGTAGGAAATTGTGACAGAGCAGGGTTAGCCCTGGTTTCTGCTTGTCTCTAGCTTTGTAACCGTCTACACAAATCACTAGTGGATCTGAGACTTGCATCCTGAACAGGACCATTCAATTTCTGGTTGCTTGAACTTGAGAAAATGGGCGTAAATTGGATTTTTGTGAATGAAGTCCTATTTTAACCAAAAGGTCTGATACTTAGAGTAATTTTATATTGAATAATTATTTTTTATAAGAATTAAATTTCTAAAGTTAATAATTGCCTTCTTAATGTTATTTGAAAGATTCATACTTATAAATTAAGATTTTCTTGAATAGAATGCTACTTTTTTGGTATCCATTCCCAAATTTACTTAAAGGACTAGAGAATTTCAAGTACTGTGTCCTCCATTGCAGTAGCTGTTATTATTTTAAAATAATTTTAGATAGTGATAGTTTCAAACATTTAAAAATAATGTCAGAGAATCAATATTTGAAAATCTTCCTCATACTATATATAAAATCATACAAATTTGGGGGCTGTAGTTCTCAGTGGCAGGGTGCTTGCCTAGCCTGTATTAGGCACTGGATTCAATCTTCAGCACGACATAAAAATAAACAAATATGGGCTGAGGTTGTGGCTCAGCGGTAGAGCTAAAGCGAGCGCTTGCCTTGCAAGTGTGAGACCTGGGGTTCGATCCTCAGCACCACATAAAAATAAATAAGTGAGATAAAGGTATTATGTACAACTACAACTAAAAAATAAATATTTTTTTAAAACAAATAAACAAAAGCATTCAATTTTAAAAATTAACATTTAAAATTTGTATCAAGGTGTATATAGTTTTAAAATATCAAATAATATGGACAGGCTTATGAAAATTAACAGTCTCTTGCCCCATTCCTTCTACCCCAGCCCTGTGGTTTAGAGCAATCACTTTTAACTGTTTCTGTTCTTAGTTGACCAGGTAATTATTTAAGGGTAGTAGTCATCTAGAACCCACATCTATTGCCATGCTAGTTGTTACAGCCCAGTTTCTTTAATTGATTAGTGCTCTGCTATCTTAGGTGTTAAAAATTAAATCACCTGTAGTTATCTTTATGAATATCAACATCAATGATATATTTATATATTTGTCTGAGTTAATTAACTTTAGGCATTGTCTCATACTATAATGGTAGATAAAAATTTAGCTTATTTTTAACATTTGTTATCCACTTTGGAAAAGTCTATTCAGATCTTTTGTCCATTT